TTGGTCCCCAAAGGTTCCTGGACGGGCCCACTGTAGTAGGCGCACGAAGTCCTCCCTATAGCGGTATGCACATGATGAAAACCTAGAACATTCGTCTAGAACGAACATGATGGAATGAATGCATTGATTAAAGAAGGGAGTTAAATTCAATGCATACATATGTGTTTGATTACAATTTGTTCAGCATGACGGCCTTGGGTTCAGAACTGGCTGGTAATCGATTGTCTACTGTTGATAATCGATTATCATGCTGTGCAGCTTCTGTCCCCAAAGTCCCGCAGAATGTGATAGTCGATTGTCACCCTATGACAATCGATTGTCAAGTTGGTTTGTTCAGAAAGTCCTAAGTTCAGAGAGCCCTGATAATCGATTATCGGTGAAGCTAACTTACACCCAAGAATCCGCAGGGCCTGATAGTTGATTATCACACATATGATAATCGATTATCACGCTGTGCTGAATCATCTGAGGAGTCCAGCGTGGCCTGATAGTCGACTGTTCTATTCCGTAACTCGATTATCAAGGCACACTGACTTCCATTATCTCTGTTTGTTTGTCATCAAAACGTTGGACGTTTTAAAGAAACGAATGTTTATATTTCCATGCTAGAAAATCGATGAACTTACAAGGTTTCAAAACATTTATATTAACGAACATGCATAGATTCTACGTAGGTTGCGTACGATATTCCTATGAATATAATCACTTAGATTATAACTAAATGTTCTAGAATTAGAGGGACAACTACTCACCTCTAAACGAAGGGGTTGACGAAACTATGAGACGAGATGAACAAACGGTTAGCAACGAACCAACGAACGAACGGACAACCTCCTGCGTGCCTTTCCTCCTCTTCTACCTTCCGTCTAATCGCCGGAATCCTCCCTGGTTTGCTTGCTGCGTTGGCCGAACAAGAGGAAAGGGAAGAGAGAGAATGTGTGTTGAATATGGGGGTTACAAAAAGTGAAGGAGGAAGGGAATGGGTTGGGGGTTTAAAAATAAAAATAATGATGAAAATGAATGGGCAATGATGGTGATGTTGAGGGGGGGGGGGGCGAACCAAGGCTTGGGGGGGTTACAAATATATTTTACTCCGTTATGTAGAATCTGTCCTGAACGGTACACGATTTCCCCCCCGAACGGGTCCAAATTGAGATCCGTTGGTGTTTCTGGAATTAGACAGTCTAAACGAATTTAATGATATGATCAAATATTTTTTTTAAGAACTTTTCATTTTCCCCAACTCCAGTCCGGAACAGTAATTATTTATTTAAAATAATCAATTCTATTAGACCGGGTTGCAGGACGTTACAATTATCCACCCCTTAAGAAAAATTTCGTCCTCGAAATTTACCTGATCACTAGTCACTGAAAAGATGTGGATAACGAGTGCGCATGGATTCCTCGGTTTCCCATGTTGCCTCCTCGACGGTGTGACTTCTCCATAGAACCTTGACCAGCGGAATGGTTTTGTTCCTCAACTGACGGACCTCACGAGCCAGAATCTCAACCTGCTCCTCCTCATAAGTGAGATTCTCATCGAGTGGGACCGTATCAGCTGGAATCACGTGAGAAGGGTCCGACCGGTACCTCCGGAGCATGGACACGTGGAATACATTGTGGATCTTGCTCAACTCCGATGGTAACTCGAGCCTGTAAGCTACAGGTCCTACCCGCTCGGTGACTGGGTACGGGCCTATAAACCTCGGGCTCAATTTTCCCTTCTTTCCGAAACGTAAGACGCTCTTCCAAGGCGACACCTTTAGGAAAACCTTATCCCCGACTGCATACTCGATGTCACGCCTCTTAAGGTCGGCGTAGGACTTCTGCCGGTCCGAAGCCACCTTAAGTCGGTCTTTAATCACCTGGACCTTCTCCTCGGTCTCACAAACCAAATCTGGTCCCTCCAACCTCCTCTCGCTGAGCTCTGTCCAGCAGGTAGGAGTACGACAAGGTCTACCGTACAGAGCCTCATACGGTGCCATACCAATGCTAGCCTGGTGACTGTTGTTGTATGCAAACTCCAAGAGTGGCAGGTATTGCTCCAAACCATCCCCGAGGTCGATTGCACACGCACGCATCATATCCTCGAGAATCTGAATCACCCTCTCCGACTGACCGTCTGTCTGAGGGTGGAACGCCGTACTGAAGTGGAGATCGGAGCCCAATGCCCTCTGTAGGCTCTTCCCAAACTGTGATGTGAATCGAGGGTCACGATCCAAAATGATAGATGATGGAACTCCATGTAGCCTGATAATCTCGCGGATGTACAGCTCCGCTAAAAGCTGAAGTGAGAAGTCACGACGAATGGGGAGAAAATGAGCTGATTTGGTCAACCGATCAACGATGACCCAAACTGTGTCGTGCTTACGTGGCGACAATGGCAGTCCCACAACGAAATCCATCGTGATGCGATCCCACTTCCACTCAGGAATGGTGATCTGCTAGAGCAGCCCTGAAGGAACCTGGTGCTCGGCCTTGACCTGCTGACAAGTCAAGCACTGTGATGTGAACTCCGTGATCTCCCGCTTCATCGCGGGCCACCAGTATTGTCTCCTAAGATCCTGAAACATCTTGTTACTGCCCGGGTGCATGGTATACACAGTGCTGTGTGCTTCACGAAGCAGGCGTTCTCTCACCTCCCCCGCTGGCACAACCATACGCGCACGATAGTACAAGATACCCTCACGAACTGCGAAATCCGGCTTCTCTCCTCGAGAGACGAGCTCAACGGTATGGATACAAAAATCATCGCTGCTCTGGGCTGATGCTATCTGCTGCTGTAATGTAGGCTGGACGTGTAACAGAGCTAGAGTCTTCCGACTAAGGGCATCGGCTACCACATTCGCCTTACCTGGGTGGTAAGCGATGTGACAATCGTAGTCCTTAATCAACTCTAACCATCTCCTCTGTCGGAGGTTCAGATCCTTCTGTGTCAACAAGTACTGAAGACTCTTATGGTCGGTGAAGATACGCGTCGTCTCACCGTAGAGGTAATGCCTCCAGATCTTCAAAGCAAGTACAATAGCTGATAGCTCAAGGTCGTGCGTCGCATAATTACACTCATGTGGCTTCAACTGCCGAGATGCATAAGCAACGACCTTGCCCTCCTGCATGAGAACACACCCCAAGCCGTTATGGGATGCGTCACTAAAAACCGTATACTCCACTCCTCGAGTGGGCTGGACTAGAACTGGTGCCTGAGTCAGACACTCCTTCAGCTGCTCGAAACTCTGCCGACAGGCGTTAGTCCAAACGAACTTGACGTCCTTCCTCATCAACTTGTGCAATGGTGACGCTATCTTGGAGAAGTCCTTCACAAACCGGCGATAGTAACCCGCCAGTCCGAGAAAACTCCTCACCTCTCGTGCATTACGCGGAGTCTTCCACTCCGTGATCGCTGCTTCCTTGCACGGATCTACCTTCACACCTTCAGCCGAGATGACATGGCCGAGGAAGGTAACCTCGTGCAGCCAGAACTCGCACTTGGACAGCTTGGCATAAAGCTGATGTTCCCGAAGAATGCTCAAGACAATGCGCAGATGCTCGGCGTGCTCCTCCTGTGTCTTGCAGTACACCAAGATGTCATCAATGAATACCACAACAAACTTATCAAGATGCTTCCGGAACACACTATTCATGAGATCCATGAACACTGCCGGTGCATTAGTCAACCCAAATGGCATGACTGTGAACTCATAATGAGCGTATCTAGTGCAAAAAGCCGTCTTCGGAATGTCTTCCTTCTTGACTGGAATCTGATGGTATCCTGATCGGAGATCGATCTTAGAGAAGACCGTGACTCCTCTCAGCTGGTCGAACAAATCATCAATGCGTGGTAGCGGATAGCGATTCTTGATAGTGACTTTGTTTAACTGACGGTAATCGATGCATAACCGCATCGATCCGTCCTTCTTGCGGACGAACAGAACCAGTGCTCCCCAAGGGGACACACTGGGACGGATGAAGCCCTTATCCAGCAACTCCTGCAGTTGAGCCTTCAGCTCCTTCATCTCCGCAGGCGCCATGCGATAAGGTGTGATCGAGATCGGTCCTGTTCCTGGAACAAGATCAATGGAAAACTCTACCTCTCTAGAGGGTGGTAGACCAGGTAAGTCATCTGGAAACACATAAGGAAAGTCACATACCGTAGGGATGTCCCCCCTACTAGGCGCCTCCTGACGAGTGTCACGCACTGTGCACAAGAATGCTTCACACTTCTTGCGTATGAGTCCACGAGCATGAATGTAGGAAATGAATTCTAGAGCTTTTGGAAGAAGCTCACCACGGATCAGAATGTCGCTACCGTCTTCGGCTCTTAGCCGCACCGTATGCGCTCCACAGTCAACAACGGCTTGGTTGGCGGTGAGCCAATCCATGCCTAGAATAACATCAAACTCACGATGTGGAAGCTCAATGAGACTTGCAGGGAAGGTCTTTCCCTGGACCACTAATGGGCAGTCGTGATACACATGGGTGAGTCGTAGACTGTGTCCCAATGGGTTGGACACAATTACTGGGTTGTCTAAGTCTTCCCTCGGAATGTTAGGCATAACCGGCATAGGCATACAAACACATGATAAAGTGGAACCCAGATCAATCAAGGCTGCAATAGATGTATCAAATAAGGTAAACATACCCATGATGACGTCATGGGCTGGCTGCTCGGTACGCCCTCGCATCGCGTAAGTGAGGGCCGGAGCCTTCCCCGCCTGAGCGCCAGATGCTTGCCGCTTGGGCTGACTAGATGCTGCCGCCGACTTCTGGCTATGGGCGTGCTGCATTGCCGGGGCTGAAGCGGCCGGTGCGGTCTAGAATGCCTCACCCGAATTCTTCGGACAATCTCTGCGGAAATGCCCGGTCTGGCCACACCCAAGACACAAGCGCAGAGTGTACCAGCATTCTCCTAGATGCCTGCGCCCACAATGGTCGCAGATTGGGTTACGGAACCCATCACCGCTTTTGCCCTTCTTCCAGACGGACGCAGACGACTGGGCTGGGGCTGACTTCACCTTCTTGCTCTGGTGAGAGCTGCTAGGCGCTGCGGAGGACCTCTTGCCACTGGTCCCCGCCTTCTGGGGTGGAGGAGGACGAGATGGTGCTGTTGACGCCCCCTGCGTCTCCTCATACTCAGCCTTCTTGGCGAGAGCCGCATTCAAATCCAACGCATTTTTGTATAACGCGTTGATGTCACTCTGAGGAGCAATGATCAGATGAGCCGAAAGATTGGGACGTAAGGCCTCCAAAAAGCATTTGCACCACTTTTCCACGGTCGGGACGAGGTCCTGCCCAAACCCCGCGAGTTCGTCAAACCTCTGTCGATACTCAGGCAGTGTGAGTTCACCCTGGGTGAATTTCAAGAACTCCTCCCTCTTTGCCTCGACGAAGTGCTCAGGGATGTACTCTTCATGGAAGAGTCGGTCAAATGTGGCCCACTGCACGGGCTCCGGGACGTCTGCTCCTACACGCTTCCACCAGTCGTAGGCGGAATCCTGAAGTAATGCGACTGCGAGGTCGCCACGCTGCTCCTGTGGAACCCTCAGGTTCCCCAACACTTGGATGGTTCGCTCAAACCACCGTTTGGCAATCATGGGGTCGGCGATCTGATCGCCCAAGAATTCTTCCGCTCCATTCTTCCAGAGCTTCTCGATGGTGACCACCGCCACTGGTGGCGGCGGTGGTGGCACGTAAGCTCCAGCCATCTGCTGGAGGAAGTTCATGAAGTTAGCCGCGAATTGCGGCTGGACGATAGGGATGGCTTCCGGTATAGGGCCCACGCCCGGGACCGCCTGCTCGGAGGCTTGCTGAGGTGTCAAGCTCGACGCTTCAGTGTGCACGCTCACGTGCTCAGGCTCCCCCTCTGGGACCGCCTGTCCGTCATTGCCAGCTGCTTGACTCATTCTCTAACGGAATAACTTAAATCAGAACTAATTATAATATGACATACATGTGATCTAAATAATGGTGTACCTTTCCCTAGGAGTGATGCGATGGGAGATGCGGCTGTGGACTTTTTGAAAATACCTTTTGAACAAGACGACAAAATATGTTTTTTTCCAAAACCGAACTGCTTTGATACCAAATTCTAACACACGCCTTCCGTGGACCCGGTTCACCCGCGACCCGACAGACCGGCAGGGTTATAACGACCATCCGTTACAAAAACATTAATGATTATCTAATAAGGAAACGGTTGTGTTTTAATTAGGGAATAAATGCCAAGGAGTTACTCCCAAAGCATGTGTAGTAAATGTGCAGAGTAAATGCGGAAGTAGATAAATAAGTCCAGTCCAAATTAAATAATGACAAGGGTGGGTTCATGCCCAATTGATTAATGAAGTTATTGAAAGTAGTTAAGAGTTCGTCCGTGCGCCGCCCATCTCCCCATCGTCACTGCTCTCCAGGGTTGGCACCTGCTCCGTCATGTCTACCTGCGTGTAGCAAAAACAACTACATGCTCAGCAAAAGCTGAGGAGTGAATCTAACAAAAGAACATTAAGTGATAACCCATATGGCTATACCCATATCAATACCTGTACTTAACGTACAGGAAACCACACGTTACTAACTGTTTAGTTTTCACCTGTTAAAGCTATTTCGAATAACAAGGAACATACATGATGATGATATGACTTGATGCATGACTTAAACTATCAGGGACACCCCTGGCTTAGTCTCACTCGACAGGATCACCCCTGCACTCCGGTCATCGTCCCCGAACGGTAACGAGCCGGGCACGACGAAAATATCGCGAGTGGACTAGCAAAACCGGGTAGTAGCCGTAACCT